ATAATATAGTTCTTTAAATATTTTTTATAATATCCCATTAATTACACAATAAGGTCTAGTTTCACGCACGTCTTAATATTTCCTTTGTACGACAAAGAGCCGTACAAAAGAGAATCAACGCGTCATAACTCATGCGCAGTAATGAGTTTGTCTAAATTAATTACAAAGGCGATAGCTAACGACGAGCTCCGACAATAATTCAAGAAATGCGTTTAACGAAATGTAATTAAACGAAATTAATTGTGTTTTGAAATCATTGCGGCAATTTGTCGTCCATTCAATTTGAAGTGTGTAGGGTGACAATACAATTTTCGATTTGAAGACTCGACTTTTATTTAAATCAATTATAAAATATATAACATGTCTTTTCTTCATATATGAAGAGAACACCAAGACAGTATAACGTGATAGGCGCAGATACTATCTATTTACAGTGACAAATTGCAATTAAGTTAGAATAACTAGTAACGTAATATTTTACATTTAACAAGTACCAATCACTGCGAAAATCTATGTAAACACTTCTCGATAGACAGTTGTACTAACTAGGCTTCAAGAAACATCAAGATGCGATTGAAACTTACCAAATAAGTAAAAAACTTATGTTGCGAGTGACAATTTCCGTTCGCCGCCAGAGATGCGTTATAAATTATTTATTATCTGTGCTCAATCTATGTAATAAAATTGCCACAGCGTGACGTTCCCGTATTGATAAAAGCAAAACCTAAGAACAAGTTTAAATTACACGCTTCCTTGATTTATCGACACATCGTTATACCTAACGCAACATAACTTTTATACCTATCCCTATCATTATTCCTTTAAAATTAAGAAAATCAGAGTATTGAATAAAGCCATCTCTGGTTAAGTCAACAGCTGTCAAAATTAATTTGACATTTGATGAACAGACAATAAAAAATAGACATAATTTTAACATCAAATAAGGTCTTTCATCTTGGTCCTTAGAAATTCATTAATCACGAATATCTTACTTTCTGTAAAATTAAATGTGAACATATTCGAGCACTGTGTTACCTTTTTTTTTCTAAATGTCCAAATCAATTGAGATTCCTGGCCAACCTTATCACTGTCCACCTACGCATAACAACAGATCGTACAAGCAATACTGACACTTATCGTGCAATGTTGTAATGCAAATAAGTCTATAATTGTATACGCGACTCGTAAGGCGTAGAACACACTGGACGCAAGTGGGTAACGCCTACAGAACAACTGAAGTACTATTCGAATGACCATCAAATGTAACAAAATAAGTAACTACAAGCGAAGTACTCTAATAGATTGAAAACATTTTTTACTCAATGGCTTGATATTTCGTACAAAACCAACGCCTATTAGTTTTAATTCGGCAAAAACTGCGAATACCTTTTTCTGCAAAGCACAATCCAACAGTTGTTATACAGTATGTATTAGTTAGTTAAATAAAAAAAAACAATAAGTCTGATTAAACCCTACAACAATCCGCATGGTTTAAAATATACTAAAATCCAAAGACTTCCAGGAAATCTTTCTGAAAGTACTAAAACATTAAAATTCTTTTAGCAATTTTCGAATAACGGGAAACGAATATACTCTACAAACAGAAGCTGCAATCCATAAATGGTGATTTATCTTTATTAGCAATTTCGCGTGTGCTTACTTGAAACAACGCATAACTAACCTGTGCCGTTACAAATTTGAACAGGCCGTGATTTCAGCAAACAGAAAGTGGTTTTGTGCAGTCGCGCAAACGAGAGACTAGGCGTGTATTACTTCCTCAATTAGCTAAGCTTCTAATAGTGGAATATAATTAAGCGAGAGGGGTTATATGGCGTCTGCAAACACAGGCCCATCTTCATACTTCGACGCGAGTAACATTTCTAAGAAGGCTTTAGGTGGTCGCAAATATGACCATTGTTTGAACGGCAATTTGGACCGGTCGAGCCTTACAAACTGGCAACATTATCTGTGCACCACATCCGAACGAAAATAAACCTTAACTTGACAGCTGTACGTCAAAATGTTCCCGCCAATGTTTTTGCGATGGTCTTGAAAGTACTCTTAAATTTAATTGCAAAATCCTTTCGCGAACGCGCCTCTTGTGTGCACGCGAAATGTGTTAATTTGAAAATGTTTGTAATACGAGGTTTAATGTTAAGTTATACTGCGCGTTAATTCTCTCCTTTCAAAGTTCACAAAGGCAGGTTTTATAATCTGGCGCGAAACGCACTCCCTTGAATAAACAACGTTTTATTTCCGGTCGCATTACAAGTTTATTGTTAGAAACCATTTAGAAACATTGTCTTTTTAATTACTATGTCAATAACGTTTATTTAAATGTTTCGTTTGTAAATCCGAAAATAGTCCTATCTTGTAACTATCAATGTGAAATATTCAAAATAAAACAATATGTATAAACTAATTATTTATTTAAACTTCACTTATCACTTATAGTACGTCACTGACACATCCAATCTGCGAACACCCGACAGCACCACACAACACGCTTTATAGATCGACAAATACAATTTTTTTAATGCTTTGATGTTTTGCAATCCTAAGTAAAATTTTAACATGGAAAAAATGAAACACAGCAATCATTAAAACACACACTAAAATAAATTAACAATAAAACGCTATCCATAAAATTAAAATAAATTATATAGGACTTTTACTAATTAATTTCAGTATTTTCAATTTTATTTCTTGATTATTGTTTTACACAAAAAATGTGATTAGAAACTCATATTTGAATTTGTATAAAAAAAATTCAATTTCACTTTAAGATCTATAAAGCCAGTGTGCGGATCTATCGCAGTGTTTCCGTGCCTCATTTGGGCTTGGTCTCCTGGTCGGTGACATAGCGGATGTAGATGGTGTCTTCCGGCTTGGGGTCCTCAACTTGAGATTCATCTAGCTGTGAGCATGCAATGGCCAGTGCCGAACCATCGTGAGAGAAACTAAGTGCTGATACTGCTGTATTGTATCTGAAAATATATTAAAAAGAAATCTTACTTATATTATAATTACTGCCTTACAGATCTCGCTGAAATTTACTATAGTTGTAGAACATAAGCAGACGGGGTCACGGCCGACAGCTCGTATGTATTATAACCTTTAAACTAATAATCAAAAAGTAAGTCTAAGAAAGTAAAAATAATAATAAAATATTAGTTTCATAGCACTGTAATGTTTATCTCAATGTGAGTTTTCCCCAAAGTGATAATTGAAAAAAAAAAACATTTTTAATTCTCGTTTCTTCCTAGATAATTGTCAGGATGGCAATATATTATATGGTACATACCTGTGGAACTGACAGAGCCTCTTCTTGTTAAAGCCATCCCATATGTTAACATAGCCATCAGATCCGCCTGTTGCAAATGTATTGTACACAGAATGAAAGCTTATTGCGTTCACAGGATAAATTTTTTCCAAGCCTAAAAAGCAAAAATGTATCCTTTTACATTCGTACTTTTATAATTACCTTATTTATTTATTTCTTTTTTAAAGAGCCTAGTCTGAACTGACAACAAACAAAACTGACTAACTCAATCCTGTAATTTTTACCAGATAGTTAAATAAAATAACTATTTTCCTTAATTTTCCAAAACTTACCGCCATCTTTGATCCTGTGACATTTGAAAGCATATTTCTTTTTCTGTACTTCAGGATTGCTGTCCAGATATTCAACGGCCACTCTGCCTTCAATAGAACTTAGAACATATCCTTGCTTGTTGGGAAAGACTCGTATACAACGGGTCTGATACTTGAGAGATGACTCTCGTCTTTGGTTCACATGCCCCATGTTACGTACATCCCACACAAAGATTTTACGACCTGAAGTGCCTACTACAAACTTCTCACCAACTATACTCATTGTGTACACCTGTAAAAGAGTAATTTAAAGTATTACCAAAAAGATTTTATTCAAGTTTCTAATATCTACAGAATATGTTATGCATCACAGTTTTGTTACATAATCTAAAGGTATGGCACTGAAATATGACAAGAAACAAAATAATAGGCATTCTTAAGTTATGTTTGATTAAATTACTTATAAAATATTTAAGGGGCAATAGTAATTTGTTATTTTTACCCTTTCATTTCCTTGGTTGTAAGTGCCCACACAATTAGGGACACGGCTGTCCCACATTTTGACAGTGCCATCCCAACTACCTGTCAAGACTGCATTCACCTCGCTTGCAAACTCCACACAGCGTATAGCCCCTTTGTGTTCTCCAAGAACTGTCTCTGAGCTTACGTTAAGATCATACATCTTGAGGGTCTGATCGAGCCCACCGCTATAGGAGTGTGCAGCGTCCTAAATTAAATCATATTATTGAATATTGCTACATTATTGGTACACAAAATGTAACAAATAAGAACATAGTTTACCCTAAAACAAACATCGAGAACCGGCAATTCATGATTATATTTATGTCTTTCAACGTTCGAAGTAACATCGTATAACCTAACTGAACAGTCCCATGACGATACGAGCAAGAATTGGCTGGATTTTGGTGCAAACTTGACGCTAGAGATCGCGTCTTCTGGCAAGTTCTTTAGTTTAAATTCTGTGCGGGACTCCGCAACCCGCGTCACAGTCATTGTGGAAGCAATTTTGTTAGGTAGTTTTTAAACAGTTTCAAGACAAGTTTTTGTGATTATATTTTCAATTTTTCTAAAATGATAAATTGGTAAATATACAGTAAACACCATGCATCACGAAAAACGTCACATTGACATTTCCTTTCCGTCAATTGGAATTTTAATTTACATGTACAGATTATAATTTCGTACACCAAAAAAATGAAAAAATCAATTTTGTTTATAATTTGGATTAAACGCATGTTGGGAAAATGGTAATATTTAATATTCTTTTCATTTGTACATTGATTTGATTTTATACAATTTTTTAAATGAAAACCTTAATCATTAGATTTCGGTTAAATTATGCTAAATGATTAAACTGAACGCTTCTTTCTAATTGACATGTTTGTGATGAGGTGTGTGAAATCTGAAATCCAAATCTCTTTTTATACTCTTTGTAGAAATTAAAATCGCTCTCTCGCTGAAATGGATTCACGCAAATCGTTTACTGCTTAAATAATTGTCATGTTACATTTATTGTGCAACTTTTTCACGTGAAATTATTCAACGAATGCAATACAAGAGTGCCTCAATAATAATATTATAAATGTCTACTTTCGCTTCGTGCAGTTGAGTGGCACTCCGAATCATACGAATGGAGTGATTATAATATAAAGTAACGATGCAAACCAACCTGAAAACTAAAGAAATGTTTATAGTACGAGCCTTGGAAAAGATTTTAGCGGATAAAGACATCAAAAGGTCTTATCACAATCAATTGAAAAAGTCCTGTGAGGTGGCTTTAGGTAAGGTTTCCATTTTGACATTTACACAACAGAAAACATATATTGCTTATACGAGGCGATTATAATATAACTATAAACGTATCACTTATGCTAATTAAGTTAAAGTTCAGTTTTACAAGTTTTTCTTAGCAAATTTGTCTGGTGACCTTGATGTAAAGTTGAAATGACTTCAAATACCTTATCAAATTAGTCTATGTATATCGTAATTGCTGGCAAATACAATATCTATAAAACACTGCATTGATGTCTGACTTTGACACCTTTACCTACATTTAGGGGAAAAAAATTGTCTCATATTTGTTTAGGAAATGTGAAAGCAAGGGCATTATAGTGCTAACTCCTCTTTCTTGCCATTTAATCAGTTTAGTAATCAAACTAGTTTATTGTCATTTTAAAGTAAACTTTAAATTTTAATAATTTTTATCAATATACACTTTTAATGCATTAGTGTTTAATGTTATGATAAAATGCATGAATCATAACATAAAATGTATAAAGATATTGCTAATGGTCATAATCAAAATTAGAAATAGTAACATGAAAAACATATCACATACACATTACATCTAATTTGAATTACTGAACCATCTTTTTCTTTGAAATTCAAACCATAGTTTTTTTAATCCTACAAGATAATGTTGAATTAAAATAGCAAGACAAATTTGTAAAGATGTTTTTGTTATTTTTTTAATAACTTTAATAGGTATGGACTGAAATGAAATTTATTCTCAATTTTAAAATTATTTACTATAAAATAGTTAATATGCTCATAAAATATGCAATAAAATAAAGCTATCAGATAATCTAATAAAATAAGTTTATTATCAGAAAATAACATTTTTATATATTCTACCAAGAGAAATTAAGTAAATAATTTTAAATGTTACAGTTTACTTCTTTAAAATATACAATTTTAAAATGTTATAAGCTACAGCGGAAATCTCTCTTGAATAACTGTGTAACTGTGTAGTAAATGTGTTGTGTTAAAGGAACACATTTTTTGACAATTACAGTCAAACCTGGATAAGTGAGAATCCTTTATAAACAAAAGTCATTGATCAGTCCCAATAGATGTCTTCCATAAGCAAGAAACTGGGGTTAAAGAGTAGCCTGTGTTGTGTATAAAAATATAGCAGTGCCAAGGTCTCTCGCTTATCCAGGTTCAACTTTGTTTACAAAAAGACTATACCAAACAATGAAACTATGATAATATATGCTTATCTTCACTTGGCACTTTTCCTATACTTCTCCTACTGTCAAGAATGTTGTGTTATGTAATTTTCCACTATACCATACTGCGGTAAGAACGGTATCTTAAGTACTTAAGTACTCATTGGAGTTACAATAACTTTATAACTATTTTTAAAAGTAGATTTATAAAGTAAAGTAAAATAAAACAATAAAATTTAGGTTTTCTAAAATTTGGTATATTATTTTCAGAGGAAATAAAAGCAGAACTCAAGAATGGCGGTCAACCGGAATCATCAGAAAGTCCAACTTCAGGCACTCTGCCGCTACCAAAAAATGATTCATCAAACATTATCACAGCTGAAAAGTATTTCCTGCCATTTGAGCTGGCGTGCCAGAGTAAGGCGTCGCGTATTGTCGTCACAGCCCTGGACTGCTTGCAGAAACTCATCGCTTATGGACATTTAACAGGAAACATTCCAGACTCCACAACACCCCGAAAATTGTTAATTGATCGCATTGTAGAGACAATATGTAGTTGTTTTAACGGACCACAGACAGATGAAGGTGTTCAACTTCAGATAATAAAAGCTCTTTTAACAGTGATAACAAGCCAACATGTTGAAGTACATGAAGGAACAGTGCTTCTTGCTGTTCGAACTTGCTACAATATTTACTTAGCAAGTAAAAATCTAATTAACCAGACAACAGCTAGGGCTACACTGACCCAAATGCTCAATGTTATATTTACAAAAATGGAAAACCAAGCATTGGAGTCTGACACAAACCCTAACATTAGTGAAAGTAATAAAATTCCTAATGGTAATGTTGTGACTGAAGAATCAAATTCAAATAATGAAAGCGAAGAAAATAAAGATAAAAACTCTGTACCTGAGGAGCCTGCAGATGAAGTACTAGAAGCTAAAATTATTGCAAAGCAAATAGTTGACTCTGTGATTGATAATGCAATTTCAATTGCTTCTAAAAAGTCTGAAGATGATGTGAGCCAGAATGTACCAGATAACAATGAAAACCCATCAGACTCTCAAGACAGTGTCAGCGTGTCTCAGGAGAACAGTGAACAAATACCAAACGAACCTTCAATAACAAGGATACCATCACAAGAGAGTGTAGATGTTGCTTCAGAAAATGACAATTCTGTCACCGCTAAATTTACACATGTCCTGCAAAAAGATGCATTCCTTGTTTTCAGAGCGCTTTGTAAACTATCAATGAAACCCTTACCAGAGGGAACACCTGATCCTAAATCTCATGAGCTCAGGTCTAAAATTTTGTCTTTGCATTTACTCCTTTCTATACTTCAAAATGCTGGTCCAGTTTTTAGAAACAATGAAATGTTTATAACCGCAATCAAGCAGTACCTTTGTGTCGCCTTATCAAAGAATGGAGTAAGTTCTGTGCCAGAAGTCTTTGAACTATCACTGGCAATATTCTTGGCCCTTCTTCAAAACTTCAAGATTCATCTTAAGAAGCAAATTGAAGTTTTCTTTAAAGAAATTTTCATGAATATTTTGGAGACCTCCAGTTCCTCATTTGAACATAAATGGATGGTTATTCAAGCTCTGACCAGAATCTGTGGTGATGCACAAAGCGTTGTAGATATTTACGTGAACTACGATTGCGATCTTTCAGCAGCAAATCTATTCCAGAGATTAGTCAACGACGTATCAAAGATTGCGCAAGGAAGACAAGCTTTAGAATTGGGAGCTACTCCCAACCAAGAGAAATCCATGCGTATCAGGGGCCTCGAATGTTTAGTGTCGATTCTTAAATGCATGGTAGAATGGAGTAAAGAATTATACATTAACCCTAACATGCAAACAACATTAGGCGAGAGAACTATAAAAGAAGACTCTGACCATCACAGTATTAAATCCCACGGCGGATCTAGCCTAAGTTTGGTTTCCACAGGGTCTAGTAATATTGGTAACAGAGAAACTTTAGATTCACCTGAACAGTTCGAAGTTCTCAAACAGCAGAAGGAAGTTTGGGAAACGGGAATCGATCTGTTTAATAGAAAACCCAAAAAAGGTGTCGCATTTTTACAAGAGCAAGGATTATTGGGTACATCAACGAAAGAAATAGCAGAATGGTTGTTAACTGACGAGAGGATTGATAAAATATTTATAGGTGAATATTTAGGAGAAAATGATGATCATTCCAAAGAAGTAATGTACGCTTACGTTGATTCCATGAACTTTTCAAACATGGATATCGTAGCAGCGCTACGCCATTTCTTAGAAGGCTTTAGATTACCTGGCGAAGCGCAAAAAATTGACCGCCTTATGGAAAAATTCGCTGCTCGGTATTGTGAATGCAATCCAACTAATACGCTATTCATGAGTGCCGATACAGTATACGTATTAGCATTTTCCATAATAATGCTAACGACAGATTTGCATTCGCCACAAGTAAAGAATAAAATGACAAAGGAACAATACATCAAATTGAACAGCGGCATCAGCGACAACAATGATCTGCCTCGTGAATATTTGTCGCAGATATACGACGAAATCGCCGGCCATGAGATTAAAATGAAAAACACCTCGAAACCGGGGCAGCATAGGATTGCGAATGAAAAGAAACGGAAACTCATATGGAACATGGAAATGGAACAAATATCAACCGCAGCTAAGAACTTGATGGAGTCTGTGTCTCATGTTCAAACTCCGTTTACGACTGCGAAACATGTCGAGCACGTCCGACCAATGTTTAAAATGGCGTGGACCCCGTTTCTCGCCGCTTTCTCCGTGGGACTACAAGATTGCGATGATACTGAGATAGCTTCCTTATGTTTGGATGGAATAAGATGCGCAATTCGCATCGCTTGTATTTTCCACATGTCTTTAGAAAGAGACGCTTACGTCCAAGCTCTAGCAAGATTTACATTACTAACGGCTAACTCGCCGATAACAGAAATGAAGGCCAAGAATATTGACACAATTAAGACTTTGATCACTGTCGCCCATACAGATGGAAACTATTTAGGAAGTAGTTGGTTGGACGTAGTTAAATGTATTTCCCAACTCGAATTGGCACAGCTGATAGGTACAGGAGTCCGTCCTCAATTTTTATCAGGTTCCGGCATCAAACCTCAACCCGATGCGTTGAAGTTTAGCCTCATGGCATTAGATCCTAGTGTAAAAGAGCACATCGGTGAAACGAGCTCGCAGAGTGTAGTGGTGGCGGTCGATAGGATTTTCACAGGCTCAACGAGGCTCGACGGTGACGCAATTGTTGATTTCGTTAAAGCACTTTGTCAAGTATCCATAGATGAGTTGAGTCATCCTACAAACCCGAGGATGTTCTCACTGCAAAAAATTGTCGAGATATCATACTACAACATGGGCAGAATTAGGCTTCAGTGGTCTCGCATTTGGCAAGTTCTCGGTGACCATTTTAACAAAGTGGGTTGCAGTAGCAACGAAGATATCGCCTTTTTTGCCGTAGATTCCTTACGGCAACTTTCTATGAAGTTCATTGAGAAGGGTGAATTCGCTAATTTCAAATTTCAAAAAGACTTTTTACGTCCTTTTGAACATATAATGAAGAAAAACAGTTCTCCGACGATAAGGGATATGGTGGTCAGATGTATAGCACAAATGGTGAACTCGCAAGCTCCAAACATAAAGTCCGGTTGGAAAAATATATTTTCGGTATTCCATTTGGCGGCGAGTGACCAAGACGAGGCGATCGTTGATTTAGCATTCCAAACAACCGGAAAAATTATATCGGAATTGTACGAGAAACAATTCCAAGCGATGATCGATTCATTCCAAGATGCAGTTAAGTGTCTTTCGGAATTCGCTTGCAACGCGAAATTCCCCGATACGTCCATGGAAGCAATAAGACTTGTAAGATCTTGTGCAACAGCTGTTGGCGCTTCACCGCAATTATTCGCCGAGCACGCGGGACTAGAGGGAGAACCTGGTGCTCCAGAAGAAGATAGGGTTTGGCTAAGAGGATGGTTCCCTCTCCTGTTCTCTCTGTCATGTGTCGTAAGCCGTTGCAAATTAGACGTCCGCACTCGAGGGCTCACAGTCCTCTTCGAAATCATTAAAACACATGGTGAATCATTCCGTCCGCATTGGTGGAGAGATCTTTTTAATATTTTATTCAGAATATTTGACAACATGAAATTACCTGAACATCAGTTAGAGAAGAACGAATGGATGACTACAACATGCAATCACGCGTTGTATGCGATCGTCGATGTCTTTACCCAATACTTTGACATCCTCGGCTCTCTCCTGCTCGAGCAACTGTACGCCCAGTTGCATTGGTGCGTACAGCAAGACAACGAGCAACTGGCCCGGTCCGGGACTAACTGCTTAGAAAATCTAGTCATATCCAACGGGATGAAGTTCAGCGAAGACACCTGGAGCAAAACCTGCCAGATTATGTTGGATATATTCAACAGTACTTTACCCACCACTCTCCTAACTTGGAAACCGGACGAAAACGACGACGGCGAAACACCTCACGTTCGTCATGGCATATTGAAGAAGCCTCAAGGAGGAGATGAATCTAAATCCTCCAACAGAGTCTTCAACAGCCTTCTCATCAAGTGCGTGGTGCAACTCGAGTTGATTCAAACGATCGATAACATAGTCTTCTATCCGGCGACATCGAGAAAGGAAGACGCCGAAACATTGGCTCTAGCGGCCGCCGAACTGACCGGGGGTACCCCGGGCACCGAGCAGGAATGTCAGCGTGAAGAGCAGGGTATGTACCGGCTGCTCAGTTCACCGCACTTGCTACGACTCGTCGAGTGTCTGATGTGCAGTCATCGGTTCGCGAAGACGTTTAACACCAACAATGCGCAGCGGAACGTACTCTGGAAGGCGAATTTCAAGGGATCTGTGAAACCTAACATGCTGAAACAAGAGACCCAATCGTTGGCTTGTGTTATGCGGATTCTGTTCAAAATGTATAGCGACGAAGCACGAAGGAACCACGGGCCCGCCGTGCAGAGCAGCTTGATAAAGATATGTTGCGAAGCGCTGGAGTACTTCGTCGGATTGACCAACGAAGCGCACAGAGACGCCTGGACGTCCATTCTACTGCTGATTCTCACACGGATACTCAAGATGCCCGATGAAAGAGTATGTATTATAATTCTTACGTAAAATTATCTAAAGTAAATTAGTAATTTATCATAGCAAAATGATTAGTTTAAAAAAACGTCAAGTACTAAAACAACTTTATCTAAACTTGCCTTTGTATCTAAGTGTTTATAGACAGGTGTGAATCATCTAAGCCAATCGGAAATTCAAACACGCAACAATACTATGTTGGTCATACACATAATAGAGGCACGTGTCCTTATAGGTTTACAGATACTGTTAACTTGTGTATGCACATACACGTGATCGTTTTTTATTTAGACCCAAAGTTCATCATCATCTATACTAATATTATAATGAGGAAAGATTTGATCATTTGTTTGCTTTGGCTCCAAAACTATACTACATTATCCTCTGATGACAAGGAGCTATGTATATTTCTAGTTTTTTATAGCGCGAACGATGTCGTGAGCAACTGCTAGTTAAATAATAAGGAAAAATAAATAAATGTAAAGGTTCGTGTATTTTTCCCTGACAATGGAAAAGTGTGAAACTAGCATTTGTATATATAATAGTAAGAGTTTGCTGAGCTAATAACATGGTATTTTTGATGTAGTTTGCGGCGCACGTGTCCAGCTACTACCCGCTGCTGTGTGAGATCACCTGCTTCGACCTGAAGCCGGAGCTGCGCACAGTGCTGCGCCGCGTCTTCATACGCATCGGACCCGTCTTCAACATCATTAGCACGCAATAAGCTTGCAATATTTTACACAACAGAATGGCCTTATAGTTTCGTAGGTTAAAGTATGACTTTGTTGTTAAAAATATAAAAAGGTGCGTTTAGGGATTCGTCCCGGACATCCAGGGACACTTTTAACGCATACAAATAAAAAGCAATTGTTAATTCCTTAAATTTTAATGTAATATTTGACAGCAATCAGTACTTCAGTAGTATTAAAATTGATCTATTATATATAGTGTGTGGTAGTCTTATTGTTTTAATTTATATAAATTATTTGATTAACAATGTTAAAAAAAAATTAATTGTATAAATCATAGACGTTGTACCTATAAATAATATTTTATTCTGTATATTTGAAAGTTTTTACCGTTCGGAGAGCTGACGTCACTCGCCGCTGACCGCTTCACGTTATTCATTTCTGCGCTAGACTGATTCAACTGTGATCGTGAATTCCCACAGCTTTCCTCCTTTCGATCTTTTCCTATTGAGTGATTGCAGAGCTCGCACGATAACTATATTATCCATTATATAATAAATAAAAAATAATAGTATTAAATGCAGTTTGTGTTATTAAACGATTTTAAGTCCCTCAATCGACCTCTCCAAAGAATCCAAATCCCAAATGACGAGTTGACCATCCAGGCCGGAGGTGCTAAACTTCTTAGCATTGGCCTTGGTGCCTTTGTAGAGGCTAATACAAGTGATTGCATTCTGATGAATGGAATCCAAGTAAGTGTCACTTGTTTCAATGCGGGCCTGACGATCCAGCGACTGGAACTTCTTCATGGCGGAGAGGCCGCCAGACTCCTTCCTCTGAGTATTATCTAACTTGGCTACGAAACGCAATTCATCACCATCATGGCAGTAAAGCAATGGAATGCAACTATGACCCGCCACCAACAGTGAGTTATTAGAAATCCAATTACATCCCAAAAATGGCAGGTATTCAGTCTTAACTTTGATCATTGACTTTCCTTGAGTGGCATCAGCGATGCTGATAGAGCTATCATGTCCGACCCAAGCCACCTTATTACCATCCGCAGAGAAAGAAACACTATGTACCCATCCACCTCCCGAAGGTGAATTAGGGAATTCAGCCAACAGTTGCCCCAAGGGCAACTTGGAACCCCAAACATTTGGACCAGGTTGATCTTCAATATCTTTAATGTAGGCAGAGAAGACCCTGACTTTAAAGTCCGCCGAACCAGCAACTAGAAGTATGTTGTTTGGATGCCAATCTAATGTAGTCACAGTAGAGCGGATGGGCTTTTTAATATGCTTGGAGACCCACCAGTTATTTTCTTTCTCAAAGTAACAAATTGAAATTAATCTTGCACCGGAACCAACAGCAAACTTGTTCTCTGCGGGTGACCATTTTACGCAAGTGGCTGCACGGTTGATACGCAGAAGGACCAGTGTAGTGGTCCATTTCCCATCATCGCCCTGCGTCCACACGTAAGCATTACGATCAACTGAGCAAGTAACAATTCGATTAGTGTTGGGCGCCCAGTCAATGCCCATAACTCTCAAATCATGCTCCACCAGATTATTGGTTTGCTTCCATTCATTTCCCTCTTTTTGGTAAATATGAACTTCATTGTTGTTGGGTGAAAATGCGATTTCTGGAAGAATAGCATAATTTTAATCTTCTAGCAAATTGTGATAATAAGACAGCCGTAAAACAAGCCATACTAACGAGTTCTATCCTTGTTCCACGCGTGGCACGTTATCGGAGCGCATGAGTCACCGAAAGTTAGCGTTTGCGACATCTTTACTGCTAAAATCAATACACGGATGAATAACCAATACATTTACGAATCAATATACATATTAGTAATCTATTTACCTGGAAGTTCTTTCCGGACAATGAATATGTATCTTCAAGAAACAGCTCTGCTCTAGTATATACTAGAAATCCGCGGACTCTGGTCAGTCTACGCGAATTCCTGTGTGATACAAAAGAAATATAAATTACATATGTTGTATTTCAATAATTTATGAGTAAAAATGCACTATTTACCTTATACAACGACCACAGCAAACAGCGAATATCGAATATAAGATTTATGAATGACTATGACGTCCAACGTCAAGTGACGTAATGCAATTGACAGTGACAGCTTACTTGACACTCATGGATTATTAAGATGATAGGAAAGGAAATTCAAATTTTTAAGAGAAAATAAACTGCAATTAATATATTTTTGTAATAGTAGTATTTTTCTACAAAATGCAAATATTCCTATAATAAGAGATTTTAAAGATGTCTTCATTTAATTTCGAAAATGATTTCGATTAGTTTTGACGTTGGATACTCTTTGCTTTGATATGAAAATATTTGGCATTCTATGTTACCAGGTCATGAAATTAAAAAAAAACATATTTGGCATTTAGTAATTGGTAAATAAATAACCAAATTAAAGAGAATATAAATAACAGCAACGAAAAACTATAACTATTTCGCAACATGTCTGGAAGAGGTAAGCTTATTATATAAAACTATAAATATTGGAGACGTTCAAAACTTCGTATTTAATCCAATCCAATCCGTCACAAAAACCTTTAGGTAAATATCGCCGGCATCGCAACCAACAAACCTTGTCTTCGGTAGCAAGAGAAACGGCAATTTCACTTCCCGATGACAGCCCTATATTGGCGATATTTAAATCCGCCGCTGTAAAACTGAACGATCGTCAAGACAGGCACGAGCGCTTGGTCAAACTCTCCAGAGATATTACTATCGAAAGCAAGAGGATCATATTTTTACTGCACTCTGCTATAACGTAAGTGACCCTTATTGTTATAAATCTGTATACTTTTTGAGTAAAAATATGTATTATTTCCATCTTTGTAGCAAAGAAACATGTGAAAAAGCAGTTTCAGAAGCAATTACACGGCTTCAGAAACTAGCGAAGGGTCCAATAAAAAGCATTGGACTTGAGCTCGAAAACATTCCAAGCTACTTACATTGGCGCGCTGTGACCCCAGGTTTCCAGGAGTATGTTGAAGCAAGGACTCTATGCTCTTTGATGCAGACACAGAATATTATAACATTCCAAGAAATGCAGGATGAGCTGACTTACAAAATAGAAGATGAGGAAAATGAGAAAGAGAGAAGTGTTATAACTATGGTGACTCAGAATGACTACATGCTGGGTATAGCAGATCTGACAGGGGAATTAATGAGGCGAGCCATCAATAGCATTGCAAGTGGAGACAGTGAGGAATGTTTCAATTGTTGTCAGAATGTCAGAGATCTGTACACAGGTTACTTAGGTAAGACATCAAAGTATTCATACAATTTACATTTTAATCACCAGCCAGTTGGAGGTAATTTTCATGATTTATTTTTTATTATGATTTATGCAGAATGAAAAATTAACTGTGGAATAGGAAAGCTTTGCTTTAAACTTCAATTTTTGCTTTCAGTTATGTGCAGTCAATAACATAATGTTTGATTGTCATAAAAAAATAATTGGCTAATCTCTAATCTGATTCTTATACTATGTGTTTGTAGGAGTGACAGGCTGCAGTCGAGATCTGATGCGCAAGCTGACGACAACTCGTCGCAATGTGGAGAAGGTGGAGGCTGCGGTGTATGCGCTGAGGGTGCGCGGGGGCGAAGCCCCGCCTGCACTGTTAGCCGCAGCCCCGCCCTCCTGGGATGCAGCCTCAGCACATTCCGATGATGAAGGCTTCTTTTAATTTATCATAGTATAAGCATAATTGTAATAAAAATTGACTACACCTTATTTTACTCATTACCATCCACTGTTCCAGACAAAAACATTTTTAATAGTATTTTCAACAATTATGGATCTTCTCTCCAAAAGTAAAAAAAGATATTAACATTTTTATATACATATATTTTCTACATCAGAAGGTGGCAAACGAGCGAGCCGCCACCTGAAAGCGCAGAAATAGTGAAGTGACCGTTGCCCATAGACACGCAATTGCATATGCTTTGCCTACCTCTAATCGAGAGGAAAGGATGCACAAAGAAAATATCTTCCCTTTCCATGCATCCTCTCATCTGGAAAGTCCCCTTCCACTTCCCATCCTTTCCGTATAAGAAAAAGGATGGGAAGGGAAGGAGGACTAAATTAGGCCTCCGGGACGCACACTCATCAGACGAAACGCAAAATTGTTTTCACTTCACACCTGTCTTCTGTGTGGTCGTGGTATTACACCGGACGAGCCGGGACAATTCGTACGAAGATGTTAAAGTGATTTCTACCACTGTTATTTTTGAATGAACAGTTTACTGTATTTCCACTAAGAATAATTTTGGCATACTCGTTTATCCAAACATTATGTAGCTTGTCATTTATTTAAAATAAAACAAAAGTTCTTGAAAAAAACTAGTTTATTAACACAAACATAAAACTAATATCTATATAAACTGTGAGGCCTGGGAATAATCTTGAGTTTCGGAGACGTCACTCGGTGGTTGCCAGTCATCGGAATCATCAGTCCCGTATGGGTCTTCTTCTCCTGACTCACTACCACTCCATGTCTCTCTTTGTATTGTCTTCCTTGATCTCTTCCCTGTCACTATGAGATCTTCCATTGGAGTTTCTCCACTGGAACTTCTCTTTGTTTTCTTTTTTCTTCTACCTGCCGTACACAAAATAACAGGGTGGGAAAACAAAATAAAGAATAATACATACAATTTTATTGAACATGTTTACTATACAAAACAAATTAAAACATAGCTAAATAACATTAATTACAATTAAGATATCAAAAATATGATAGTTTGATAGTCATAAAAATCTTCATTTTCACAAATTTACAATTAGAATGAACAAAGCAAAGGTTTTTGTTTTAATCAGCATAAGATTTATGAAGTTATAAATCTATTTTTATGTTTTAATTACTAAAACGAAAAAGGATTACTAATGTTGTTTGATACAAAATAATAACACGTCATTGCCACAAAAAAATATATTTTAATTTATTCTAAAAGAGCAAGTAGAGGCATTCTAAACAGCTAAGTATAATCAAACATTATTCTATCTTATTAATATACATTTCTACAACAGCTATTTAATAAATCTTATTTAACCATTCTACGCTTTTTACGGTTTTTAATCCAAAGATGATGTTTTAAATATCCAGCAAAAAAAAAATGAAATGAATGAATTTAAACAATAGTTTATAAAACATAATGGTATCAATCAAATTCATAATCATAATCAACACTGTCCCCGTCAGAGTCCTCCGCCTCAAAGTGATCGTCGTAGAAGTTGACAGCGTGCGCGTTTATATAGAAGATTTTACCATTCCTTTGTACAATGTGACTTTTCTTTTTTTGTATACCTGAAACAAATGTTTATCATATTAACATTTCTTTTGTCCATACTAATATATGTATAACATACAATGAAAACATTCAATCCACACAGAAGACATGTGTAAAGTGGAATTAAATCCGCGTTTCGTCTTATGAGTGTGTGTACGGAGACATCTTTTTATCCCTTTTCCTTTTCACAATATATGAGAAAAAGATGGGAAATAGATTTGACTGAGGACGCATAGGAAGGAAAAAAATTCTCCGTCTATACAGTCACTTCGCTATTTTGGCGAATTCAGATAGGCACTTCCGCGCTTGCTATATGATATAAAATATAATTTCATAGTGAATATAGAAGTAATAAAACTATTAGATCACTTACTGATTCTTTACCAAACACCTTTACAAATATAAAGTATCTTCTCACAAAACTTTTGAAAAAAAGATGGACGAAATGTCAATTTTCTAATTACAAATATTTTGTTAACATTCTGTTAACTGAAATAATTAGTTTCGACCACGATAATGTAATTTTAATATTGAGCATAATAAAACGTTTTCTATAATTACTTATTTCTCGGTAAATAGTGTTTTCAAAATGTGATTTTGTTAACAATAATGAGTAACATAAGCAGTGTGTGTGTGTGCGCGTGTTACCTGCAGGTGGTGGGGGATGCATGCCGTAGGGGTGGGAGTGGTCGCGCCAGTGTCGGGGGTCGCGACGCGCGCAGGCGTAGCCCCATGGACACGGCGCCTGCGCCCCGCTGCCCCAGTCGCAGTCCCCGGGGTGGCTGAACTGTGCCTTGTGCTGCGGGTTCTTCCTGCACACATAACAATAATATTCTTATTAAATCTATATCACAATCTTACTATTATTATAAATGCGAATGTTTGGATGGATGGATGTTTATTAGAAGTTATTTCCAGAACTACTACATGAATCTCGCTGTAATTTGTCATAGATGTAGAACATAGCCGAGAAGAACACATAGGCTTCTAATTAAGATTTTTTTTTAATTCCGCGCGAACGAAGTTGCGCGCGACAACTAGTTTAGCTATATATTCAAAGACTGCAAATTATAAAGCATTAAAAAAAATATTGTATTACCACAGCGGCTAATCATTCTAGTACTGACATGAGAGGAAATGGAACTTGATAAAATATAACTGCTACTTTGATGTTAAATTTAAATAATAACATACCTATAACATTTTTCTCCATACATACATCTCTCTCGCTTGGACTTTTGTTCTTTGGATGGAGATGCGCTGCTCGCTGAACTTGCTCCGGATGATGTACCCTGTGAAACACAAACATTCATTCATTATTTATTTAAATACACATACATACTTAAATTTGTCAGACTTTGCATTAAAAAACTTATTAACCGTGGATTTCTGAGATTTTGACTCAAAATATTTTATTTTTTCATGTTACAGTGAAAGTGGTTAAAATAGCCATAGACACAGAACTTTTTTTTAAAAATTTGATGACCTGGTAACATAGACCTTTAGGTCATAGACACAGAACTGCGTCACAGATTCGAAAGATTCAATATAATTACGAAATATTTCACTAAACTACGATGACGTGTGATGTGTGACTCATGTTGTTATTTTGCATCATATTGATTAGTTTTAACATCATAGACGCAAATTGTGTATGTATCATTTATTTCTTCAGTAATACTTAACAAATAAAAATCATGTATATTTTTAACAAGATTGATTATAAACGATAGGAAATGTTCTTATCAAATTGTTACGAAGTTTTTTTGAGGGTCGTAATTTATTTTGAAGAACATAAAAAACTGCATAGGTTAGGTTATGAACGTTATAAAAAAACATTACATGGTAAGGTTAGATTTGGAACATTTTTAACAAAATCGAAAAAAAATATATATCTAAAATGCCAAAATGTATATTCTGTGTTGTGTAATATAAATTTAACCATTTTTTGTTATAAAACGGTGACTTTCAACATACCAGTCATAAAAAGTATGAAAAGTTATAATACAATAATTTATTTTTTTCTCCGAAATACATTACGACCCCCAAAAAAAAACTTGAACGAAGTGTACAGGAGAGGTCATTTCTTATCGTGTAAAATTAATTTTATTACAACTCGACATGATTCACTATTGTAAAGTTTGACCTTTTCTCTCTCAAAAACATATATTTTTTTCAGTCTTCAACAAGCAAAGCTACTGTCAACGTACAAAAATTACAGTATTATCATAAAATGGCAACTCACCGCTTGACTATTTGGGGATTGTGACTTGTCATCTACATTATTTTCTGTCTTTAATTTCTTTATATCTACTGGACTGGATAGCTCCCGTTTGATTAAACAACGTTTTCCCGGAGACTGGCTTAGATCTGATTGTTCCTGTGTTTTTATTTCATTCTCATTTGACTGTTGCTCTTTTAATTCATTATTTAATATTATTTCTTGTGTTTTTAAATTATCTGCTAAAAAAAATTACAAATATGATTATTATTCCATCGATATGCTATCAATAAGTTTTTAGTAGTTAATTAAGAATAATGCACGAAGGTTATTATTTTAATTGTCAAATAAAACCTTGAGAACAAAGTTAACACATTGCTTACTACTACTTACTTAATAATATTAAAAAAGCGAAGGTTTAGATAGATGGATGGATGGATGTTTGTTAGAAGGTATTTCCGGAAATACATAACGGATTTTGATGAAATTTGGCATAGACGTAGAATACATAGGCTACTTATTAAGTTTTATTTATTCCGCGCTAACAAAGTCGCGTGCGACAGCTAGTTATGTAAAAATCATAAATAATGTTTCTTAGCTTAACATTATTTTTTAGATTGTAATAACTGGAGACTTGAATGTGGTACTTTAAACATGACGTAATGATCAATACGAGATGCTTCCATTGTGTATACAAAACACGTAGCGACATGAACGGACTGCGCAGTTAAATTACTGTGACCATGCGTTTTATTTTCAGTGGATTTTTTTACTAAACTTTTTTTTTTAATTAGACACTTTCAATAATTTTAAAACCTATAAAGCGGAAGCATCATCTAACTAGCTATCGCCCACGACTCCGTCCGCGTGGGATTAAAAAAAAATATTAGTAGATAACATATTCTTCCAAACTATGATCTAACAAACACCCATCCATCCAAACATTCACATTTATAATATTAGTAAGATTTGGGACTTATCCATATTAAATACAGGGTGCCCCTATTAACCATCTGGATTTCCCCGGTGCGTGTAATAACACGCATTGCAATAGCAAAGTTTCAACATCTGCGTCATATCTTATTATTGCTACGATACGACTCAAAGCTTGAAATACCAGAATCGATTCTCAATTTATTTTATTTTGGAACTTAGAAAAATTGAGCTTCTTTACTTAGTAAGTAATTTTTAGTAAAATACTTACTTAATATTGAAGGTGAGACCGATTCTTTGTTGGATTCCTCATTCTCTGTTTCATTCGATATCCGTTCTTTTGTTAATTTCTGTTCACTTTTATGATAATTTTCTTCACTGTTTGTGTCATAATTTAATGTCCGAATATCTTTGTACTTATTAATTATGTCTTTTAACGGTTCAAAATCAATTACACTGGAGCATATGTCATCTTTTTCATTATTCTTGCAAATATTGTACCAAAATTTATCATTTAAAAAGCCAACTTTATCGCCCAGCTTGACCTTCATAATCGTGTTTTGAAAAATGATCTTTACTTCGCCCATTGTATCGCTTACTACGAAACATGGATTTATATGTAACTGAAAGGGAAAATGACAAAAATTAAAATACAACAAAAAGGAATATACTATTGCAAAATATGTACCCACACAAAATAACATGATAACTGTAATCAAGTATTTCACAGACTTGGAAAATGTGCAAAAACTTAGACCCAGGGAACTAGAAAACGTAGTATGTTTTGTCACTCTGTGCACAAAAGTAACAAAAAACATATTTTCGTAAACATGAAATTCTTCTCGATTGTCATGTTAGTGTGTATGAGTAATATAATTATTTGAAAAAAAAAAAGCATTTGATGTTTGTTGGTGTATAACTTGTGCCTCGACTATAAATATTAGCACAAATAATTCAATGACATAGTCCAAAATAATTAATAATAAATGTATTATTCATTTTATATTTATTTAAATTATATTGTTTTTTTTATATAATACATTGCACTAACCACAGTGCCAAGTGTACCTACGTGTCTTTTATACTTAAAATTAAGTTTCCTTTTGCCTTTTATTCATTGATAAAATATTCAACGGCCGTTTTGTATTCACAGGATGACGCAGCAGACATTACTGCATGGGCGTATACAGGATGTTGGCAGATAATGTTTTTAACAAATTATTTAAAGACACAAAAACTTTTAAAATTTTACTATTAGTGAATTTTGAATCAGTACTAATTCTCAAAATATATTTATGACATGGTATTGGTAAAAGTAAAATCTTGATACACTAGGTGTCGTCGGCGACTTTGTCAGCCTATTCTACATCTATTCCAAATTTGAGCGAGATCTATGCAATCGCTCCGGAGATACCTCCTTACAAACATTCGTTTTTATAATATTATAGTATAATTTACTTAATAAAATAGTATAATATTCCAGGAACACCCTCTATGTAAGACATTTTTATTTACAGAGGTGTACTTCACAGCAACACATCAGGCATACTAAGGGAGTGATAGTCACAGGTCACTTTATATATCCTTTGATAAGTGCACAACCATTTCAATATCTGCCCGATAGCACTATCTATTCAACGCAAATACTTCAACATAAAGAAGATAAGGCCACATGTATGTACTTATGTGCTAGGGTTATGATTCAGAAAAGAACAAATTTTTTAAGAAAAATCTAGTCAAACAAGGAAAATATACTATTTACGTAAAATAAATTATAGTAAATTTGCTTTTATAGAGAAAAGCCAATTTTTAAATTTTTTTTGTCAGTTGGTATTCCTGTCCTCAAAGATGGATTTGTTGGTAATCTCTGAAATAGCTGGACCAATTTTGACATGAATTGTACTGGAAGTTAGCTGATACATGAGGGCATATTATAGGCTACTTTTTTATTAATGCGCAGACAAAGTCACGGGCGAACACTAGTTATAAACAAAGAAAGGTTTTTCTGTTTTAAGTTGGCGGTAAACTTTGAGTAATTCTTTTTTATAAAATCTGAAATAAATTCAGCTTGTTCAATAAACAGAACCCTTCTTTATTTGTAAATGATAAAGAGCAACCTTAATAAAAACATGAGATTAGAAATATAACTCTACTTCCAGGTTATCTTATCAGTTTAAATTAATAAAATCGATAAAAAAAAGAAACAGTATTGGATAGGCTGCAACACCTACAACATGTACTAACGAAAATTTCATACCGAACAAAAATATGATGCTATCTCATACCATTTTCAACTCTAAAGTCGGTAAATAAAGTTCAAAATATGATTTGCATTGGTTTTATTAATATTTTAGGTAATACTTAACAAAAGCAAATTATGGTGATTTTTCATAAAATTGATTTTAAATGATGTGTTCCACATCTGATATTATTCTTTATTTTTTCTTCATAATAAATTGCGTCCATGTAGAAAAAACTTCAATACAATGTAAATTAGATAATTTCTTATTGTTTAAAATTATTTTTATGAAATTTAGCACGATTTGCTTTTGTAAATTTTACCATATTTTTTTATTTTCTTAACTATTATTATGTAATATATATCCCATTTATCTTAAGTTTTTACACTGAAGGGAAACATTTCAATGCAACCTATATACTTTGGTAAAGCAATTCAAAAATCAACAAAAATCAGCCAACTCGCATTGGGTATGCATGTTTGATTATACCCTAGTCACCACAAAGATGGGGTAGGCTCTCAGTCCTTCGGTGAGAAAAAACGAAAACTAATGATGATGATCCTATTAAAATAAATCTATAAACATTTACCACCCCTAAATTACAATATAAATAAAAAATGACAATATCTTGTATTAATGTTAAACATTCTACAAACAGCAAATACTTTCATAAAAATGTTAAATAATTAGAAAACAATAGAAGTAACACAGTACTTACAGCCTTAATAATTATGGAATCTTCAACAATTTCTATTTCTGCATGGTTCCTTGATACTCTTTTGTCATCACACTGCAAGCAGACCAACTTACTGTCACTAAACATTGAACAGACTAAGCTTTGTTATCTAGAACTTGTGCTACTTATAGCACAGACCGTTACAACAGCGGTTACAGTAATTCAAATATGGGAGCATCGTTATTTTTAAAGCAGTTTATTTTACTTAAATAATATTATGTTTATTACATTTTAAATGCAATATATGAAAATTACAATCTATACTTCAATATCCGTGATGAAATTATTGGACTTAATGTGACAAACGTGTATCAATAATTTGTTTATATAATTTTTTAATATGATACAATACTTTCTAAAGTTTTTTTTTATAATTGAAACAATACTTTTAGTACTACGTCATACCAACTAGATGGTTACGCAAAACTAAAATTTCCAAAATCTGGCCCAGAAAATAATACTTACTTCAAGCAAATTCCCTCGTCCTATAACTTGCTTACCATCCGTCAACGGAATTTCCCGATGAGCTTCATCATCGATGCGCACTAATTTAAACATCTTGTAAAGTAATTTTTGGTAATGCTGGCGTTTTAATCATGCATGCTTTTTGAGAGTGCGAAAGTCGTATATTATAGTATAATATACGACAAATATAAAGTTAAATGTTATCACTTGAAATACCCAACAAAACAATTATTTCTATTTACGGTTAATGTAGACAGATGGACAGGAAAAAATGCTTGAGTTACAGCAATTTGACAGATCAGAGAAACCGTTATACCGTTTTTCGAACAATTTTTCGTTTACGTTACTTTTATCGTATTCCTGACTTTATAATTTGTTTTGCATTACAGTTTTGCATAGATAGACATTATATTGCGAAATACTGCTTAAATTATCGAAAAAAAAGCTTGTCTTAAAAAGTTCTTCAAATCTTTAATTTCTAAACGAAAAAAAAACCAGAAGATTGACACATTTGACAGTGACACTTTTATGTCAATTTTTTTCCCTCCCTACTTCTCCCTTCCCTTTTGCAAGTCAATCAAATCAAATGTTGTGTATCAATATCAATAAAATTCAACTTGTTATTTATTAATATTTCAATATTGACTACGGTTTGTCGTCAAAGATCATGATATAAAATTTAAGCTTTAGGCTTTAGAAAATGATGAAGGCAACAGGTTTAGGTTCTCATCGACCACTTTCGGGGCAGCTATATAAGTATACTAATGTAGTTAAGGGATGGCAGCAGAGATGGTTTGCGGTGGATCCGGAGACTGGCGTACTTTCTTATTATCTGTTCGATGGTCCCGGTGATACAATACAGCCAGGGCAGCCGGCGCGAGGGGAGGTTGGTATATATTTTATTTCCTTTAAAAAATACTTTTATGAATACTATTGCTTAAAGTAACACATTTAAAGGCATTGTATCATAACTTAAACATACTATGTAAGCACAAGTATTGTTTATATTATTATTTAAATGTTAAAAACTTTTTGATATTATTAGGTTTATATTTGTGATTACAGGCACATTTAGCTGCAGCAGTGATATGTCCAAGTGACGAGGACTCTCGTACGTTCACCATCAACTGTGCATCAGGAGACATGCTGAAGCTGCGTGCCACAGATGCCAGAGCGCGGCAGGAGTGGGTTAATGGACTGAGAGCTATTGCTGAGATACACACTAAAGTTAGTATTATATTTCTTACTGGGCATATATGTAAATGTAAAATTGAGCTTATGTTATATTTGGCAAAAGTGTACCTTTTCTAACTGCTATCTTGGGCTACTTTAAACACTAATCTTTGCTGTAGACTGTCACAATCATTGTCAGTGAAAAAGCAGTGTTTTTTCACATATTTTTATCACAAGTTGCGCTTTACATATTGTTTTATGTTTAACATAATTTCGTTTTTCAATATTTATAACTTAGTTTTATAAATTAAAGTCTACATTATCCAATGATGTTACATTTCCAGGCGATGGGCGCGAACCCGCCGCTGCAGCCACGGGAGCAACTAGCAGTGCATGATGCGATGGCCTCCGCACGACAGCAGCTGCAGGCAACTGAGCTCAGGTAAACCTAGCAATGTAACAAGCACTATCAAAGAAGCCAGCTATAAGGCAGGGGTAATGTATTAACATAAAAAAAGTCTTGTTGACTTTATAATAATTAGTAGCCTATGTATTCTTCCAGACTATGATCTATATCTATGCCAAATACCATGGAAATCCATGCAGCTGTTCTGGAGTTACCTTCTACCAAACATCCATCCTTCGAAACTGTTACATTTACAATATAATTAAGATATGCAAAATAGATAATTTAGTGATCTATTTATTTACATATCGTAGATTATGATGTATGTATAAATTTTCCAGTGATGCTGCTCTGGCCAGGTGTATTGAGTCTTCAGATTCTCCATTCCCACACACAGACCCGGATCTCTTACTTTTAAAGGTACATTTTTAATATTATTACAAATATAATATGAAACTGGATTACTGAGAGTCCAAGGGACTGCGATATTTTCCTGGTAATCCAGGGTCCATTGTACTATTTTCTATAAGTCACATTTGTTCTAAAAGCAGGTTGTTTGGTCTAAACAAAGTGGTTGGAAATTTTTAACTTCTAAAAAAACTTTAAATTTTAGTCCCTTTACAATCAAATTACAAGTAAAAGTCGTGTTTTTATATTTTGTTGTTTTACCGACTGACCTCTATAAGTGGCCTGACTATAAGACATGGTATTTTGTGCCTATTTGATTTGATTCATCATTTTGGCGCTGATGTTAGTGATGTTGTGGATTCATACTAATAATATAAATTAGAATTAACTGTCACTTTAAGTTGCAGGCAATCGCCTTTCCATGTATAGAGATTAGTGGTTTTACTTATATGTATGCTTATACGAGCTGTCGCTCGCGACTCCATCTGCCTGCTAAAAAAACTTAATAAGTAAGCAATGTGTACTTCCAGGCTATGTTCAACATCTGTGCCAAATTTCATTGTGATCCGTTGAGCAGTTCAGGAGATACCTTCAAACATCCATCCATGTTAACATTCGCATTTACAATATTAGTAAAATGATAACCTTGATTCTACTGGCTAACTACAGAGAAATATTGTTTTACATACGCCTTGGATATGGTTAATAGAGTTTGTATAATTGAAGGCGACGTCAGCTGCGAGCATGCAGTGCCTGCTGCAGTGTCTGGGCATCCTGCACCGCCAGCAGCAGTGCGCCACGCTCAGCGGCGCCAAGCACACAGACAACGACCACTGACCGACCCGCGCTCACCTCTACACATCGACAGGCTATAAGCCGTTCTTATTTGTGCCTATTTGATTTTCGCCATTTTAGCGTTAACAGTTCAGAGGAAAAGAGAATTTAATATCAATATACCTATATAATAACCTTTATGGTTTTAAATAGGAATAAAGCAAAGGCTGCCTCTCCGAGCAGAGACTTATCCTATAGAGATCAGTGGTACTGTGCCACTGCACTGACCGCAGACAATGTTTACTCTATGTATACTCTATGGTGTGAGTGTGTGTGCTTGTCTATGGTGATACAAGTGTCATACTTATTATGTATGAAATTTTATTTTCTTTGTTATTATTAAATGTTGTAAGTATTCAAGCTATAAGTAATTAGTATAATATTATAAACACAATTGATAGATGATTAAATGAGTCTGTTGTTTAGACAATGTTAATTAATTAACAGAGACCATAGAGACTCGTATAGAAATATATTTTACAATTTTCAGTATCCTGTCTATTTGCTTTTTAATTCTATCGGCATTTATTTTACCATTACTGTTCTTTATTTTTTTTTAATGTATAAATATTACAGCCATGGGTTCCCACTATCAAAACATTTGTTCTAAAAATGCAGTCGTACCGGGATAAAAGGGAACCCAAGGAACGTCGGTAGCTCGCGTATAGATGTTTCTCGCTTTTCCAAATTCAACTGTATAAATAAAAAACTGGAATAATTATATATTGTTGTGAGCATGTTTCGTTATTGTCAACTTACAAGATGTAGTCATTAGTGAAATACATATCTTAATGTTAATTTGTTTCTTTTCTCTCCCCCAAGCTGGTAATCAGAATTATAGCCCTCCTTTACATAGATGAGACAAACATTCGACAAAATCATTTGCCAAAAGAAACTCTTCTTAGTAGCAGTTTATGGTACATCCCTAATGTTAAGAGCCAATTCGCAACATCTGTTCAAGAAATACTCGTTGCCTTAACTTTTAAGTTGTTTTCTGTTAGTTGTTTTAACAAGATTCCGGTAATTTTCATCAGAGGAACGTCGATTGGAACTAAAAAAAACTTATTTCTCTTACTACGTTATAACTTTAGACGACTAATAAAGGCTTTCTCGGTGGGGTCATATGAAGAGAGCGAGTATGGAATGTGCAGTATTTTCAAAGTCATGTAAGAGGTAATTATGTTCGACGTATAAATTATTGTGCTATTTTTATAATGAAATTTATCAAAATTCGTCGCAATATTAACTCATTTCATAGGATTCTTAGCAATCGACACTACACTTTTTATCTTGAAATCGTACATTCTGTGACCTTATCTATGCCACGTAATCTCGATAAAACATTCTATATTTATAGCAAAATGCCCCTTATTACAAGGACAATAAAGATGACTAGAAGTGTACACTCGATTGCAGTAAAAAGATACCGTTCAATAACATTTATAGCTATGAACAAAGTATATGTACACAGATATGATAACGCAATCAATATAAGACTTTCGATTTACACTAAGTGCGTCTAATCTGCATGAGTACGGCTTTGTTTTGCACGTACAATATATTTAATATTGTCACAACTATATGCGATTGTGGACTCTATTGTACAACTGTTATGCATAAGACAGCAATTAAAACACGTTGATGTGTTTTTATATAAAAACACGAAACCACTGGACAGGTGTTGATAAAACTTTGACAATTTGTTCTCAGAGCAGTAATAATACAATTCTTTTTTCAACAATAATTCCTGCATTCAAATGAATGTTGATGAATCAAAATAAAACTAAATTTAACGACAAAATAATTTGAGAATTATTAGCGTACTTGTTTATCTTACTGTCTTACAAATTTTATAAATGCGGATGTTTAGATGGATGGATGGTTGTTTTTAGAAGGTATCTCCAGAACGGCTGCACGGATCTCGCTGAAATTTAGCATATATGAAAAAAATAGTCTGGAAGGACACACACGCAACTTATTACGTTTTTTCAATTCCACGCGGACGGAGTCGCTGACGACGGCTAGTGAAGTATAATTCATAGTTTTTATAAAATCACAATGTGAATTATTTTATCGTCGATTTATAATAATGAATATCGACTACAGTTATCAATTTGTTGAACTAATTTATTGATAAAAAATTAATGTAAAGTTGTAAGAACATAGACTCTACATCTAAAACATTGCATGTTGTTATTTGTATGGATGGAGTGTGGACTAATCTCGTTAAATGAAAAACCTTAATCTCTGCCCACGCAGTGGCATAACGAGCGTGATAAAATTATTTTAAGCATTTTATAAAACTTTTTTGGATGCTTATAAACGAAAAAGTTTGTTTATTGGACTGTCCAAGTAGAATTTAAAATTGTAGAATAAAAAATCTAATTTGATTTATTTATTCTGACAGTTTTTAATAAATTTTTAAATCGTATTTCCAACATTGTATTAATAAAATAAATCGTACAAAATGTGCGATCAGGAA